GAAAACTAGATATGAAAACTATTCCTAATTGACTCAGCTGCTTGAAAGTCGATGACCTCCCAAAAATGTGGGTGAAAACATAGTATTTGCTAAGGAATTTTTACTGATGTTGATTATTTTGAGCTGGTTCATATACGATTTTGTGCAGAATTTTACGCTCTTTCAAATGAGCGTATTTGAAGCTTTCTGAAATAATGTTTTGACAAACATAATCACTCTGCACGGGGCAAAAATAGGGTATAATTGGCATGGGTCGAAGGGCATCAAATGATTTCGAAAATATATTGAATTTGGCATCAAAAGATTCGCCATAAAATTCTGCATCGGAAAATAAATTTCTTATGAGAATTTGTTCGTGGGCCGATTCCTGTTCTTATGCGCCCCCGTCCTTAATTAGTTGTTTGAAATTACAGTAGTTTATTATTATATAAAATATTTATTCAACTTTAATTATGTTTCGTCTATTTAGTAAAATAAAAACCAAAAAAAAACGATTAAGTTGTTGTTTAATTGAAAAAAATTCGAATCGAAATTTCTAAGAAATCTTTTTCTATAATAAAAATATTTTAATAAAAAATCTTCATGAAAAATATTTATTTTCGATAATATATTCTTGTCAATTTTGAAATCCACAATATAGAAAAATAATAAGATTTTCTTACGTTGATAATTATCTTGTGACATAAACAATTATTATTGACAATCAAAACAATTAACATAGAGAGACGAAAATGAAATTATCGATTATCAGATGATTAAACAACTTTTTCTAGATCAATTCTTTGTTTATATCATCTATATGATGATACTTGAACTAACCTGGTGGAAGATTAGAACAAAAGTTAAATTTAACGGGGGAACAATACTCACTTATTTACTCATTATTATTATTATTATTAAATTATTAATAAATATAAAATAATGATTTTAAAAATAATATAAATTCTATTTAATATAATAAATTTAAATAAAATATTAAAAACAAATTTCATCTTATTAAATATTATAAATAAGAATTTTTTAATGATCAATTTCTTAAAAGTTCGTTTAGTAAATAAAAAACTTTAAAATTCGTTCGTAAATTTTCCTTAAGATATATTAGAATAAACTTCTTTTATTTATTTACTTATAATTCAATTTAGATTTAAATAAAAATAAAATAAATAATTTATCTTTATCATTAATTTGAATTTATTTATTCAATAATAAGATTTTTTATTTTAATCAAATGACAAATATTTTATTAAAAAAATATTTTTATTGGATTCAAATAAACAAAAGTAAATATAAAATGATTGAAAATGATTTTAACAATAGATATTGCCTTTTTCTATTTTGATCTCTTTCAGTAAATGAAATAAATAATATCTTACGAAAAATATTTATTCAATTAATTTTGATTTTAACAAAACAAAATAAAAATCATCAATTGAACTTTTTCTTCTTTATATAAATCAATGAGAAAATTTTTATTTTTTATCAAATAAATCTTTATTATTAATAATTAAATTTAAACGAAAAAAACTCCATGTCATTATCTCAAATTAAATTATCTTTATTTTTTTTTTTATAAATAATAATTTAATATAAACATTTTATTTTATTTATTATATATTCATGGGATATTTATATATTTTACTCAATAATAAATGTTATTCAGTTTAAATATATAGATTATCCTTGATTATAATGCCATAGTTTTATCTCATCCGTTAAATAAATCATAAACTATATATATTGCTTTTCTTAATCATACAAACATTGTCATAAGACGACTATAGACAAAACAGAAAATCGATATTATCATAGAGTTTTTTTGTTCTCTTTAATTCAATATAGAATATATATATGACCTTCATTCTAACATTATTCCATCTAGCAAACATAATTAATCAATAAGAAAAGGGAAAACAAACAGCTAACAATAATAATAGAAACTTAAGTAATGCTTATCCTTTTATCTTTTATCTTCTTTTTTTTTGTATGATTAGTTAGTTGTACATCAATCGAGAAACATTCTTGTTGTTGTTATTATTTTTTTCTATCTTTCTGTAGACGACTCTTGAGGAGAAATCATTGTGTATATTAAGAGCAAAAAAAAAAAAAAGAGAAGACAAACATAGTCGATATATAATATTCTGCAATCGACTGTTGTTCGATATCAATAAAAAAAAAAGAAGATAATAATAACAATAATAACTTATCTTGTTGTTAAACATGGGAATATTAAAAGGAAAAGATTCGGCTTTAGCACAAATTGAACAATCTAAAACGGCTTTTTTGGCAACTTTATCCGAAGTTGAACAAGGTCCAACAACACATACAATGCCACCTAAAGATCATTATATATTAAAATTTAAACGAGAAACAATTAAAAATTTAAAAGGACGTGTTTATGAAACAATGAAACAATATTCATATGAACAATTAGGTAAATTGATATATATATATTTGTTTATAATTAATTTTATTCTATATATATTTATATATGTATGTATGTTAAGGTGAAAGTATTCCTGCATTTATAAATAATAAAGAAGCGGATGATTCTCAAATAGGTTTACTTCATCCAACAAAACCAGCTATTCCAACAATTGGTCATCAATATGTCGCTTGTATTTTTGAAGATCTTAAAATAATTGATTGTCTTATTGAAATTGATTGGAGTGAAGTTGATGAATTAGTTAAAGTATCTAATGCAAGACGTAAATCAGTCGTTTAAACATTTTTTATTTTTATTTTTATTTTTATTTTTATTTTTATTTTTGAAAAACTTTTCCTTTTATTCAAACATTTTAACCATTATTATAATTATTATTTTTTATCATGTTTTTCTTTTGTTTTCTTTTGTTTGATTTTGCATGATATCATTTATTTAAGAAATAAACAAGATTTGATAATATAATTAAATATGTCTTAACAAATATATGTGAACTTGTCGATCGACATCCACCTATTGTTGGGAATTGATTTGTTGTCGCATCTTCTAACACAATTGTTGTTCGTTCTTTTTCCAAGTCAATTGAACTCATTGGAACATTTATTGTCGTATAAATCGGAGTAGATGTTTCTTCTATTAAAGAATTTGTTAACATTGAATTAGAATTTATTTGCTCTGTATATATATTTGTTGTTGTTGTTAGAGAATTATTTGTTGTTTCTTCTATTAAATTTGTTGTTGATATTGATATTATTGTTGTTTGATAAATTTCATTGATTTGACTTGTTTGAGGATTTATTTCTTGTGGACATTTATTATCGAATTGATATAAACCTGATGAACACAAACAAGCAAAATGAGAATTTTTATTATTTAAATTAAAAAATGTTGGATCTTCTGAACATAATGCATTTGATTGACCACATATATTTTCTCGTTGACAAATTCCTATTTAGAATAATAATAAAAGAAAAAAAGTAAAAAGTTATTTAATAAATAGAAAAATAATTAAAAATAACTAACGACATGGACGATTTATTGTTGATTGAAGATAATCAGGACAAGTACATATTACTTTATAATCATTTGTTATAAAACATTCATAACCATTTGATGGAATAAAATCTCCAGTTAAATTACATAGATCACATCCTATTTAATTATAAGATATATTTTAATAAATATATATATTTTTATTTTTAGTTTTATTTTTATTTACTGTTTCGTTCTAATGGATTAGAATTTATTAAATAAATTAATAAAAAACCAATAAAATAATTTGTTATCATCTCTTTCGAAATAAATAATTGAAAAAAAAAAAAGCACACGACTGATCAATGCTTTTAATATAAATATAACAGATGCTTTTTTTCTCATCTATTTATGATTCATTTTTTTCTTTTTTTTAAATTTTATTTATTTCATATTAATTTATGTTTTCTTTACTTATCAAATATTTGTTCGATAAAAGAAAAAAAAATTTCTTTTTTTTTCAATAAATGATATTTATTAAATAATGTTAAATTTTTATTATTAAAATAAATAAATAAAATAAATATATCTATATGTATAAACGATTTATTAGATTTATTTTATTCTTTTTTGTTTTCATAAAATATATATTAATTCAAATAAAATGACAATAAATAATTAATCGATTGATAAATTTATTTATCAAATGTCAAATATTTTAAATCATTTAGATTTTATTCAAATCAACTCAAATTATCAACGACAGTTTATTATAATTAATATATATGTTTAAATATTTATATAAAATAATTATATTNTAAAAAGTGAAAAAACAGTGAAATTTCGTAATTATTCGTGTTTTTAAACTCGTAGGAAAGAAAAATGATATTGGTTTTATGTGTCAGCTGTGTAACTCGGAATACGGAACAAACTTAATAATATTTCAAGATCAAACTCTCTATAAGAAATTTTTTTTTCTGAATCTTACTGATTTCGAACCTTCCCCAACGAAGGGGACCGATGGCTGGCCGTGCCGATAATTGAAATGATTAATTTTAGAATATTCTTTAATAATTGAAATGATCTCTAAATATAAAAACAAACTAACTAAGTTAAATAAATAATTATTTCGAAAAGAAAAGAAAAAAAAAAACAAAACATTTGATAAAATTAAAAAACATAATTAGATAATTTATTGTTTATTTAAATCTATTAGAAAGAAAATATAAACGGTGGCGACATCTTTATAGAAATTGTTGATAAAGATAAGAAATAAAAATTAAACCAATAAAAAATATTGGTGTTGTTGACTGTTGATTGTGTATAAATATGAATGTTATGATGAAAGATGCGTCATTGTTTAAAAGTTGAAGTCGACATAATATGGTTTACTTCAATTCTCAAATAGCTGATTCAATAGCTCCATACCGTAATGTACGTCGTGTACAATTCGGTATATTATCTCCTGATGAAATAAAACGTATGTCAGTTACAAATCCTCCAATTGAACATCCAGAATTAATGGAAGGAGGAAAACCTAAAGAACGTGGTCTTATGGATCCACGTCAAGGTCCACCTGATAGAAATTCAAAATGTAAAACATGTGCAGGATCTTATATTGAATGTCCTGGACATTTTGGTCATATTGAATGTGAGATTATTGGTTTTTTTTCTTCTTCTTCTTCTTCTTCTTCTCGTATTAAAAACAAAAATTGAATTTTATTTTTATTTTTATTTTTATTTATTTAGTAACAAAACCAGTTTATCATGTTGCTTTTCTTTCAAAAGTTTTGAAAATTTTACGTTGTGTTTGTTTTTATTGTTCAAAATTACTTATTGATCCAAATGATCAAAAAATAATTGATATTATGAAAAAAACAAAAGGACAATATCGTCGACGTCTTGCTTATGTTTTTGATGCTTGTAAAGGACAAAAAATTTGCAAAGGTTTGTTTTTTTATGATAAAGGAAAATATTTAATTTAAAAACAAAAAAAAAAAAAAAAATAAAATTTGAATAGGAAGTGAAAATGAAAATCGAAGTGAAGTAACAATAAAATATTCTGGTGGTTGTGGTCGTATTCAACCAAAATATCGTCGATCTGGTTTAGATTTATATGTTGAATGGAAAGAAGCACCTGATGAAAATCAAGAAAGAAAAATGAAATTATCAGCTGAACGTGTTCTTTCAATATTTAAATCAATACCTGATCAAATATGTCATCTTTTAGGAATGGATCCACGTCATGCAAGACCTGATTGGATGATTATTACTGTTTTACCTGTTCCACCAATGGTAAGATTTTATTATTATTATTTCTCTTAAACTATTTAATAATTATTATTTTAATATTTCAATATTTGTATTTAAGTGTGTTCGTCCATCAGTATTAGTATTTGGTACAGCACGTAGTCAAGATGATTTAACATATAATTTAGCAAATATATTAAAAGCAAATAAAACATTACGTGAAGATGAACAACGTGGTGCAGCATCTCATATATTTGATGAACATCTTCAATATCTTCAATATCATTGTGCAACTTTAATTGATAATGATATGCCTGGTATGCCCCAATCATGTCATAAAAGTGGAAGACCACTTAAATCAATAAAAGCACGTCTTAAAGGTTTTAACATTTTTTTATTATTTTAAAATAAAATTAACAAAATAAAAATTTCTAAAATTATTTGAATAGGAAAAGAAGGACGAATTCGTGGAAATTTAATGGGAAAACGTGTTGATTTTAGTGGTAGAACAGTAATAACACCAGATCCAAATTTATCTATTGATCAAGTTGGTGTTCCACGTACAATAGCACAAAATTTAACAGTTCCAGAAATTGTAACACCATTTAATATTGAATGGTTACAAGAATTAATTCGTCGTAATGCAGCTAAATATATAATTTGGGATACAGGTGATAGAATTGATCTTAGATTTCATCCAAAACCATCCGATTTACATTTACAATGTGGTTATATTGTTGAAAGACATATGATGGATGATGATTTAGTTGTATTTAATCGTCAACCAACATTACATAAAATGTCAATGATGTCACATCGTGTTAAAGTATTACCATGGTCAACATTTCGTTTAAATTTAAGTGTAACAACACCATATAATGCTGATTTTGATGGTGATGAAATGAATTTACATTTACCACAATCTGTTGAAAGTAAAGCTGAATTAAGTCAATTAATGATGGTACCACGTTTAATAATAACACCACAATCAAATCGTCCTGTTATGGGTATTGTACAAGATACATTAACAGCTGTTAGAAAAATGACTAGACGTGATGTATTTATTGATAAATCTGATTTTATGAATTTATTAATGTATTTACCATCATGGGATGGACGTATACCACAAGCAGCTATTTTAAAACCAAAACCATTATGGACTGGTAAACAATTATTTTCATTAATTCTTCCACGAGAAGTTAATTGTGTACGTACACATAGTCAACATCCAGATGATGAAGATAATGGTCCACATAAATGGATTTCACCTGGTGATACGAAAGTTTTAGTTGAAAATGGTAGATTATTATCAGGTATTTTATGTAAAAAAACTTTAGGAACATCAGCTGGTTCATTAGCACATATTGTTTTTATGGAATGTGGTCATAATATTGCTGGACAATTATATTATCATATACAACTTGTTGTTAATAATTGGTTAATGTTAGAAGGACATTCAATTGGTATTGCTGATACAATTGCTGATCAACAAACATATGAAACAATTCAAGCAACAATTAAAAAAGCTAAAAATGAAGTTAATAAAGTTATTGAAAGAGCACATAGAGATTCATTAGAACCATCACCAGGAAATTCTTTAAGACAAACATTTGAAAATATGGTTAATGGTCTTTTAAATAGTGCAAGAGATAATACTGGTTCATCAGCACAAAGATCTTTATCAGATTTTAATCAATTTAAAGCAATGGTTGTTAGTGGGGCTAAAGGTTCTTCTATAAATATATCACAAGTTATTGCTTGTGTTGGACAACAAAATGTTGAAGGAAAACGTATTCCATTTGGTTTTAAACATCGTACATTACCACATTTTATTAAAGATGATTATGGACCTGAAGCGAAAGGTTTTGTTGAAAATTCTTATTTACAAGGTTTAACACCAGTTGAATTTTATTTTCATGCTATGGGAGGAAGAGAAGGTCTTATTGATACAGCTGTTAAAACAGCTGAAACTGGTTATATACAAAGAAGATTAATTAAAGCTATGGAATCTGTTATGATTAAATATGATGGAACTGTTAGAAATCAAATTGAACAATTAATTCAATTTACATATGGAGAAGATGGACTTGCAGGAGAAAATGTTGAATTTCAATCAATTATTTCATTAAAACCATCAAATCAATTATTTGAACGTTTATGTAAATTTGATTTATCTTCAGGTGAAAAATATTTAAGAAAATTTTTAACTGATGATATTATTAGAGATTTATATACAAATAAATCATTACAATTATTAGATGATGAATGGAAACAATTAAATGAAGATAGATTTAATTTAAGACAAATATTTCCTACTGGTGATACATCAAAAATTGTTTTACCTTGTAATTTAGAAAGATTAATTTATAATGCAAAAAAAACTTTTTCAATTTCAAATCGAACACAATCAAATTTATCACCTATACAAGTTATTCAAGGTTTACAAAAATTAACACAACGTCTTATTATTGTTAAAGGTTAAAAATAAAATTTATTTTTTTTTTATTTATTTATTAACAAAAAAAGAAAAAAAAATTTTTGTTTTTTTTTTTTTTCTTTATTTAAAGGTGATGATAGATTATCAAAAGAAGCACAATATAATGCAACAATGTTAATGAATATATTATTACGTTCATCATTATCATCTCGTCAAGTTCTTGAAGTTCATCGTTTAACAGATGAAGCATTTAATTGGCTTTGTGGAGAAATTGAAACACGTTTTCAACAAGCACAAGTTCAATCAGGTGAAATGGTTGGAGCATTAGCTGCACAATCTCTTGGTGAACCAGCAACACAAATGACATTAAATACATTTCATTATGCTGGTGTATCAGCTAAAAATGTAACACTTGGTGTTCCACGTCTTAAAGAAATAATAAATGTATCAAAAAAACCTAAAACACCATCATTAACTGTTTATTTAACTGGACAAGCAACAAATGATGCTGAACAATGTAAACAAGTTTTATGTCGTCTTGAACATTGTACATTAAGAAAAGTAACAGCAAATACAGCTATTTATTATGATCCTGAACCACAAGAAACTGTTATTAATGAAGATCAAGAA